CCTTCTCAAGTTATCGTGTTGACAGACAGACACACACACACACACATACACGAACGCCCCTGAAAACATAACCTTCTTGGCGAAGGTAACTAAGCAGCAGTCACGAGGTGCGAGTGAATCGGGACAACTTGTGGGAGTGCAGTAAATATTCAGATAATTGTGATCAATTCTTCTCTTTGCTCGAAGTTGTTGTTTAATTTCACTATTTCTTTAACTAATTCTACAGAGAAGTAAAGGGGGCAACTATTTCTACGGGTTTGATGTTCACGATTTTTTATGACCAACGTGAGACCTGCTCCTAGCTTTTATGATGATCGTGAGTGTTCGTGTTTGTCAGTTATGAAGCAGACTTTGATTTACTAACAACATGTACATAAAAGGAGACACTGTGAATGAAACTTCTCACATCAGTAACTACAATGCAAGGTGCAATTCAACTTTATGTCGAAAGGAGCGCAAGGCACAACTTGGCTCAAGTGGTCAACTTAGTGAACCTTTAGTACATTCTAACATTCACGGTTAGCTGTCTCTATGGTGTTGGTTTATGTCATTTCGATATTTGTATCTTATACATGTAACTGTTGTAACATATTTCCGGAATAAAGTTATTCCATATCTTAGTCCATATCGTGTGTTTTGTCTGTTCACGAGTCGTTGTCAGAAAGACATGACTCGATTCTTTGTTTGTTTGTTTATTTGCTTGTTTGCTTGATTTGGATCCCCACCAGTGTTACAATTAATCTAACACTATTCTTAGTGTAGTCCGCAACAATATAATACAGCAAATAAAATAAAATAAAAGAACAAGACAGTTACGAGCAATTATTAGCAGACAGAAAATTAACAAAATCAAATGATTAAGATGGAAAACGCAGGCGCAGACGAACGATATTATCCAGTTGTGCCAGGGTCACGTGACAGGCGTGGCTTCCCCACATTAGTCAGTCATCAGTGCTCATCAAACCGACACAATCATATCATCGTCCCGTCATGTCATGTGGCTTTCTCCGGCACACGGCTTCATTCATTATTCATGGCTGGTACAGTGTCATCTGTCTCCCTTCACAACACTGCTGGCCTCATGTGACACGGAAATAGATAATGCCATACCCATGCAGACCGGCACTCCTCCTCTTGGGTAATGCGTTTGGCTGATACTTTCCACACATCACTGTTGTTGATATCCAGAAGGATTTGCTGTGTCTCCACTGCATGGGAACTTCAGCTGCAGACTACATCATGAGATCTTGTGGTGTTTCTTAAGATACAAAGGTGAGATATCATTGTGCCTGGGGTGCTTGAATATTTTATAGGAACCAGGTATTGCATATAACTGACTCTGGACTAGAGATACCATCTAACTCCAGCTCATCAATGACTAAAGAGCAAGAGCAAGTGATAGAACTTGAGAAGGGGTGTAGTGCTGCTGTATCAATACATGTATTTTTTACCGCATGGTGTATATTATAACACACTAATGAGCAATACGTATCCATTTTTACAACCGTAACAATGGTCGATAATCTATTAATGTGCCGAGGGTATGGTTGGAAGTGGTATAGGTACGTTTTGGATTGCCCTAGTGGGAAAAGAAACCAGGATTTAGTCCAAAATAGAATTTATTGCGGCAACGTTATAGAACCCTCAGTCTCTTGCATGGTAGATAAATATAAACCTTAGTCAAAGCGTGGTTAAGAAGAACATTACACCAATGTTGTTGTATTGTGTTGTGTTGTAAAGGCCACCCGAGAGAAAACCGTACTCTCCAAGCAGAGGTTTGGGTTTTGGCTTATTTTTGGCGTGTTTTAGGCTTTTTAAGGCTTTAGATAGATAAATAAATAAGCCAAAACCCAAACCTCTGATTGGAGGGTAAGAAAACCGAACCTTCTAATTATACAGCAGAGTCTGGTCCAACATTGTTGACTTAACAAAAAAACATCATCACGAGATCGACTTTGAGTTCAGCACAGACCACCGTGACGGACTATCCCTACTACATTACTAATGTATGACAAATCGGATATCACACACAAAGGTAATCCAATAACGGTACTCTGTATTCAACCTATTAAGAATGCGCGCTGATATTTGTGTAGATTTTCCCATCAGTCTCCAGATCTGTTGTCCTGGTCGATAGCACAAGAACGGGTCACGGAAGGACTATTGATAGTTCCCGAAGACGTGAGGGCACGACAGCTGGGACAGGGTTATTTTTAGTCAGGCAAAAGACAGCAAAACTATGTCAGGAGCCACGACCTCATTATTTTGGAGGAAATGTTAGATGGCGGCCACGTCGACTAACATACCATCCTTACTAAGCATTGATATTAATACATTGGCACGAAAATACCGTTGTCTCTATCTACACAGGGCAGAAAATTGTCGCCATGCCAACCTAGAGGGCCGAGCCGATCTAAAATGGTTTATATCGCTGGGAATTTCGAGCGTTAAGTTCCCAGGCCACGCCAAAACAAGCTGGCAAATCTTATTACCTTACGTCGGGACGAACCACTAATATTCAGTTATGTATCCAACTATGTTCTACATGTTCCCGCTAAAGAAATACTAGTAATCGAAACAAACTACAATTTATACAGGTGTAATATAATTGTGTTTGTGACCTTGTTTTGGAAATACGTGGCTTTAGATTACTCTTCTATCACGACTTAGCAATCTTTCTGATCGAGCACATTCAACTGAAGTCATCATCATCACCCCCTGAGTGTGTAATGTACCGTCCCTGAGGGGAACCTTTCTGACTGTTTCACCCCGCCACACAGTCTTTATCGATAACTTTCTGTATACAGCAGCACTAGCCTGGATGCCAGACCCATATAACACGCTAGGCCCAGAGTTATCCAGCGTGTCTGTATCAAGGCCTAACTGAGGAGGGCTGTGGTATAATTTCCTTGGGGGCATGTTGGTCCTGAAGCCGAGGAACTAGCCTGTGTGTGCCCTGGAAACAGTCTGGCAACCAGGCTACAGCACCGCCGATAGCGGTTCTCTGATTTGCCCTCCACCCAGTGTTACTATACGGCCATGGGCAGGCGGACGTGTGACCGCCCCACAGCTGTCCACCTGTCGGCACAGCACGTCAGACAGCTGCTGCCGACACCTGCACGGCGAGTGAGAAGGAGGAAAACAACGTGGCAGGTGTCCGCCGCGGTGTTCCTGGTGCTGTGGGGAGTGTTGGGCGTGGTCGTCGCTCTACGAGAAGCGTTTGACGTGGAGAGGATCACCAGGACCGTGTACACAGCGACAGGTGGGTACATCTGAAAATCGAAGTCCGCGGCATTTATGTACACTAGTCTCCAAGCAGGTCCCTTGGGGAAGCCTCTTACAGGCTTCGGAAGCGGCTGGAAAGAGTAGAAATTGGCTAAATAGACATATAAACATGCCGAGGGAGATATGGGTTGGTGAAGGAGTACAGTTTGCCGCTCCCGAAGCCTGGTAGAGGCTACCCTTCGGGGGCAAGACACTATATTGACCGACTGAATACAGGCTAGCCAACACAGTGTCTTGCGGAAGAGGTCTGCTTGGAGATTAATATTACACAGTTTTCATTGTGTTAGTCCAAATCTTGGGGTATGCAGTTGTTGTGGATACCCTATCATGATCCCCAGTTTGATTTCTAAAGGAGCTGAAACATATGAGTATGCAACGTGCGTTTCTGCGTCACATGCAGCAGTCATTAGGTGCCTAATCCCGTTTGTGATGCCGAAAGCTTATCAAAGGCTCACAGCGCGCTACGAGGAAGTACAAAGAAAGACGGATTCATGTGACATCCGTGTGACAATGTGGGTATGTGCGATAATGCATGCAATCGTGACGAAACATCGATCAGAAATCTTCAGATATTTGCTGTACAAGGATTGTAAGTACGCCATTACTCGGACTGGAGACCGATGGATCGATTGGATACTTGCTTCATCTCGTATGATATACTGTAGCGGACCCTTAATCCGCATACAGATGGAATTCTGGTACTGTCCAAGTAGAGGTTCAGGTTTGGGTTATTTTTGGCGTGTTTTTAGGCTTTTTTTCATCGGGGTTTCTTTTTTGCACTGGATTGGGTGGTTAAAAAAAATCCGGTGCAAAAAACAAACCCCGATAAAAAAGCCTAAAAACACGCCAAAAAAAAAGCCGAACCTCTGCTTGGAGAGTAGAATTCTGGGTGCTTTTCCCGGAATCCAATCACTCGGCAGCTTCGGAAATCAATGAATGAATGAATGAAGACCTTTATTGTACATTTTGCCCCACTGGGCTAAAGACAGGTCACATATAGACAAAGTACATTATCAATGTTGATAATAAAACGGCTATAGTACACAAGTACGTTCAACTTCCTCTCGCTTTCTGGTAATCTTATAAATGTAGTTGGCAGTATGAGTAGTTAGAGCTGGTTTGTTAAAGACTACAAGGAATATAAATTTCTCTATACTATTCAGATACTTAAATTGGGAGTATTTGCTTGACACAAAATCGAAAAGAACGTTTCTTTCGCTGTCATACATGGAACATCAATGTCATCGTTTTGGGTCAATTATTCTGCTGTTTCCCTGTCTGCCGATACTATGTAGATGTGAAACGCATGATTTAGCCATATTTGTGGAACAGCCGAATGCCAATATTGGGTCAGAGTGGGTGATTGATGGATTGACTGATTGATTGATTGGTAACCTTAATCAATCAGCGTTAGATGAAAAATCTGTGCGCCCGAAATATGGGATTTGATTTTTAAGTGAATAAAGCGAAGCAATATTTCCGTTGAAGAAAGGTTAAGTTGGATTTTCATATAGACGTCCCCCGTCTGTCCACCTTCTCTGTTAGGTATTTTCTGTACTGAAGTAAATTTACACGTGTTATTGTTACGATATTGGCGAGGGCCAACTTTCTTCGAAAATATCAGAGCACATCATGATGTATTAAACATGGAAAAAACATTCTCTTCTTTGCAAGCTCCAAAGACTATATTTCCGTCTATTTCACAGACAAACATACACACAATTAGGGTAGTTCTACGATTTACAACTTTAAGTCGTGTGTATCATCCTTCCTGTTACAATAGTTTCCTTAAAATTGCCCGTGCCAGGTACAGGAAACCTCGACGCTGCTCCCACCAACACCAGCCCTGTAGGGAACTGCTCCCCGCCGGCCATCGGACGCTTTCCCGGCGACCTGTTCACGCAGGCGCAGCGGCGTCAGGGAGCCGTCATTCTGCACGTCATCGCCTCGCTATACATGTTCATGGTGAGAGTCGTTAATTTTATTAACTTAAAAGGTAAATCGGGCGACCTCTAATCTCCAAGCAGATCCTACGGTGGCAAGGCAGTAAAAAACCATTGACCAGAGCTAGAAACACATAAATGTCCAATGGATACTATCTTCCCACCGTAGGATCTGCTTGGGGATAAGGCAACCTCAGACAGAGGACGAAGTACGACGCTTTTTTGCTAGTTCTGTAGTTAGTGCAACACGGCTTCCCTACGGCTCACGTTTTTTTACTAAGCACACCTGGTCACCCATACTCTTCTCAGTAAGTGTGTTGGGTTCTTTTACGTGCAGAAGTTTGATGCCTGAAGCTCCCACGGGGCCGCCGGCTTTACGTCCCCATCCGGAAGGACGATGTGACTCTTATGCTGTCACAGCACGCGTTTCTTTATTATCAAGATACCTATAGTTACATACAGTAATGATGATATTGCTATCTTCCAGGCGCTTGCCATCATTTGCGATGACTACTTTGTGCCCGCACTGGAAAGGATCAGTGAAGGTGCGTATTCGTTCACCATAACGGTCTCAGTTGTTGTTCATCTTAACGTTACTACAGAGAGCCACTAAAGCCCGTTTCGACTTGTCGTTATTACGTAGCCTCTAGTCTCTACTACGCTTTGGGTGCAGCAAACTGTACTCTCTAGCGGACCAACTCCCCTGGCATGTTATCTGTCTATTTGGCCAATTTGTACTCTTTCCATCTGTTTTCGAAACCTGGTAGACGCTAGTTATTACGCCGTACCGACGACGTTCAGAGTCTCCCTGAAGTTGCCAGTTGTCCTTACTTTCACTCTCCAGGTCTGCGTCTCCAGCCGGATGTGGCCGGTGCCACGTTCATGGCGGCCGGAAGTTCGGCCCCCGAGCTCTTCACGTCCATCTTCGGCGTCTTCATCAGCCAAGACGACATCGGAGTGGGAACCATCGTGGGGTCGGCCGTCTTCAACCTGCTCTTCATCGTGGGGCTGTGCGGGCTCATGGTCGGGACGGTAAGACCTGTTACACACATCGTGGGGCTGTGTGGGCTCATGGTCGGGACGGTAAGACCTGTTACACACATCGTGGGGCTGTGCGGGCTCATGGTCGGGACGGTAAGACCTGTTACACACGTCGTGGGGCTGTGCGGGCTCATGGTCGACGTTAAGACCTGTTACACACATCGTGGGGCTGTGTGGACTCATGGTAGGGACGGTAAGACGAATCACCACTAGCTGGTGTGTTACGCTATACATGTATGGCCGGGGATGTTCACATTCAGTCAGTTGCCGCCGCCTTTTTTTTGCAGCAAATCTTGCGTTTTCGGCATCAGCCCTACTACGTATTGAAACGTAGGGTTTATACCACAATGCCAGATGACCGAAGCAAAGTCAGAAGAAGCGTAAAATTGATTCCTCTTAGAAAATTCAGCTGCTGCTTTCTTTAAATCAACCGCTCTTTACCCCTCCCTGAGCAGGCCATCACCCTGACGCTGTGGCCCCTGCTGCGGGACTGCAGTATCTACCTCATCAGCGTGGCGGCGCTCGTTATCGTTATGTACGACGAACAGGTCCACTGGTAAGTACATCTATTAAATGAACAAAAAGTCCACATGATCCTGGGATGCACGTTATACCAACGAGTACATTTTGCAATGGCTTACTGGACTTAACATTGGTGTAGGACTACTACATAATTATGTTAATTACCTCATCATTGGTCATCAGTAGCAACAGAAGTCAAATCCGATTAGAACTCCTCGGTCCAAGAATATTCCCCAAGGACTAGCATGTACGTTACGGTTTTACGCACACAAGAACTCCAACTTTGATATGTTGAATATAAAGCATAAATTTCAACTTATTCCATTATGTTAAAACTTGCAGGTACGAGGCGTGTGTCCTGGTGTGTCTGTACTGTCTGTACGTGGTACTGATGTACTTCAACCGTCAGCTGAGCTCAGAGTTCAGCCGCCGGTTCCCCGCAGCAACTGTTGACCCTCAAAACCGCCGGCAGTCGGGACAGTATGAGAAAACGCCGCTAATGAAAGCAGGTAACGGATTTTGGAGACTTTGAGGTGGTTTTAAGCATGCTTCTCATCGTCGTTTCGCTCATGCAATGGCGTTTCTTCTGTATGAGGATTCCATTTCAAAGGTAAAACTTTACCTCCAATGGGAAACTTTATTTCCTGGCTTTATAACGTGTTAGCTATCTTTTCATGAATAATTTTTCGCTGGATTTTTGGTAGGTTTTGCTTCTGAAAAAACTGCGGAAGAAGGAGATGCGGCAACAGATGACCAAATCTGGTCCTCTGACATCAGGAAAGACCGTCTGTCTAAGTTCTCCGCCCCACGACAGACTCAAGAACGTAAGTCGTTTTCTCGTACACACTTCCCTCTTGCGTTAGCATGGTCTGTAATGTTTTACTAGTAGCCATAGTCTAGACTGTGCTGTAAACGACCTTACACAGTGGTCTTGATAAGATTTTTCTCAATCAGATTTTGATTGTTCCAGAGAATGCCGCAGAAGAAGTGCAATTCCTGGAGACGCCGCCTAGTGGCGCTGTCACGACCCATTCGGACGAAGCGGTCGGCGGTGAGCCTGAGTCTCCGTTCTCCGTCCCGTCCCAGCCCTGGAGGAGAGTATTATGGGTTGTGGGGCTGCCTCTGACCGCGCTGCTATGGGGGACCGTGCCTGACTGCCGCCGGGACAGGTGGAGAAGATGGTATCCTGTCAGCTTCCTCATGTCAGTCGTCTGGATAGGAGTCTTCACCTACATACTCGTCTGGACCGTCACCGTCATAGGTAGTGACAATGGCAGTTTTATTACTAGTATGTTTACCGAAGGAAAACATATTGTTCTTTCTCTGTTTTCTCTTCTTCTTCTTCTCCAAACCAATAAGGTCAATGACCAGGACCAGACGTTTGTCACCATGGTAACTAGTGTTGGGTTACGTCATGTTGCAATTGCGGGTGACTTATCAATACTGAGATTATTATATTACAGGAGCAACAAGATTAGCATGCTAAATACCAGGGCATCAAAACACACAAATGGTCTACGACTGTGTGCCTTTCATCTGCAGGCTTCACGGTGGGTATCCCGGACACAGTGATGGGCCTGACGTTAATCGCCATCGGAACCAGCGTGCCTGATGCCATATCTAGCGTCCTGGTGTCTAAAGAAGGTAACGTTACGTCGTATTAGACATGACTCACGTAGATCGGGCTCTTCTTGGGATTCAGACTGGTATGACCAAAGACATTTTTCATAAACGGTGTCAAACGTCTGTCGTCAATAGTCGTCAGCAGCCAAACCCGTTGCCGAAACACTGGCCTACTGTTATTACATACCATATTCATTCGTGTTTTTCAAACTGCACCACCTGCAATTATTTAACATTAACAGTGTTGCTGATATGTTGGCGTGTTTTGTAGGAGAGGGAGACATGGCGGTGTCGAACGCAGTCGGCAGTAACGTGTTTGACATCCTGGTCGGCCTGGGCGTGCCTTGGCTCGTCAGGACGGCGGTCGTCCAGACAAACAGGTGAGGTGTCATGATTAGACGCACGCCGGCCTGACCTCCATACGGACGGATTTGGCCAAGAGCAAGTGAAAGTGACGCAAAAAAGTCATTTAACGTTAACACTGATAACACCTCGGTTAATCTACGTTTTTTTCTGTGCTTTATTACGTTGACCTTTGCTTACCCCCAGCTATCGGATATTTCTTCCACAACGTTTGTAGGTTGATTTTCTTCTGACAGATTGCTTAAGCTTATAGAGAAGTGTGAATGGCTTTTTAAGATTCCTGCGGGCTGGCTTTGACTGAAGGAACAAATGTTGGAATTTTGGGGTCTCTAAACTCTCTATTAAACAATAAAGGTCATTGTCATTGTCATTAATTTTAAAGAATTCTTCATTCAAGTTAAAATAATTGCCACAATAGTCTCCTTTCAAACTTAAAATTATTAGCATGTAACGTTAAATCATTCCGCAGAGATGACCAGAGGGACGTGGACTGGAAAAACCGATTCAGAGACAACCTTTTCAAATACCCGTCTACTCGCTAAATTTGCGGCGCGATTTTTAATCAGGGATGCCCTGTGAGGTATTCTGTGTTGCCGCAGTGGGAGGATGCCAAATCCCCACTAGATAGAGATCAATCCACTCTTCATCATACACTGACAAACCACTTCGTTAGGAAGCTGGAGCGGGTGCCAGTTGTATATCAGACCTGTAGATTGGGCAGTCGACCGGAGGGCCCCCTGAATGTGTGTAATACGACCTTTCTGGGTCAATGAAAAGGTTGTAACCTCCGTGCGGAGAAATACAAGCTAAGCCCCCGACGTGTACCTTAATGATAGCGCTGGGGAGATGGATAGATGGAGTACGCTGCCAGGATGCATTAGTGTTATTAGTCAGGCTTCAGACCGATCAATAACCCATAGCGGGTGTCGCGGCGCGGGGTCGGAGGGCCCGGCGGTCCAGTGGGTGCCTGACATATATTTATGACGATGTCTGTGCCGCTCTTTGTAGACCATCAAGGTGTTAAGCCTGTGCCTGTTTGTGTGATTAATATGGACTGAAACTGACTGCAACGGACATGGTGTGAGCGCAGAAGTCGAAATAGATACAACAGGGGGTTCGACGTGTTCGAAATAGAACAGGGGTTCAACGTGTTCGAAAAGGAACAGGGGGTTCGACGTACGTGTTCGAAATAGAACAGGGGGTTCGGCGTGTTCGGTCAGAACGGTCTATAAATACGGATGTTCTTTCGAAGCCGGCGTCACACTCTCAGCGACCTTCAGCCAAAACTATACGTTGATCGCCAGAAGGTGGCAGAATTTCATATTTGCCAGAGTGTCAAAAGCGGTCAAGCGTATTTTCCACTTGAAAGTCCACCCTGTAACTGTGGACGAGTGTCGATGACCTGCGGGCATCGGTTGGTCCCTAAAAACCCCGCAGTGGCCGAGAAGACACCGGCCGTATTGCTGCCGTAAATGTCCTTTAGAGATCAAATATATACACGCCGAGTGAGCTATTTTCTTGTTCTGTGACGCCGGCTTAAAATGTTGTAACCACGATAATTAGACCGATGGCAGTTAGCCTACACGCAGGCTAACTGTCGGCGTCACAGAACAAGAAAATACGCGACAAACAATAGTCTAAAGCGGGTCTTAGTTTGTGTTACGAAGCCTAATGACAGCTTCTGTTCCTCCCCACCAGCGTGGTGCCCATCCACAGCGGCGGTCTGGTGTACTCTGCTGTCACCCTGCTGTCCACGGTGCTGGTCCTGCTGTTCATCATGTGGCTGAACCGCTGGCGGCTGGACAGGAGGCTGGGGGTCATCTGCAGCTGTCTGTACGCTGTCTTCATCACGCTGGCCACGCTGTACGAACTCAACGTGTTCGGACACTTCAGCCTGCCTACCTGTCTGGGGAACTAAATACTGATGGCCCACAAAATTTTGACTTAAAGTAATGGAATGGAATAAATGGACAATACTAAAAATCATGTCATTGCAAGCTATGCTATTGAAAACATTAACTGACGTAACGTTATACATCAGGAATCTTTGTGGATTACTGACTCAAAGTGCCTTGTAAGTGTATGCCTACCTCACTCTTGGTTGCGTCGATAGAAGAACAACAAAAAGATTGTGTTATACGATTACACAGTTTGGTGTCATGGTGAGGCATAAGATGTTGACTACCGGAAACTCAAAACAAGCTTTCTGGTAAAGACTCCAGGATGACTGATTGAATGAATGCAATTATGCAGACCATTGAGGAAAAAATAAGTCGACGTCACTTTCGTCTCATTGATGTAATGTGAATAGAAAGAAATGTTGCAGTTTTCCTCCAGTATTCTATGCAACTGTTGTATTTCTTACACGCCGAATGAGCCCTTGTAGTATAGAAACATTATTTCCGGAAGACGTAAGACATAAAGCAGAGGAAGATGGCTCCAATGGACTCAGCCAATGGCTACTGGAGCAGGGCGTGGCTTCCATGGCAACCCCAGATCCGGGACCCAGACAGCCGTCACGGGCGGGTGCGTCACCCGATGGGGACATCGACAGGACGGGGTGACAGTGACGGAATAAGGGTCATGACAGGGGCCAAGGACGCCATAGTCTCTACGTAGACTTGGTAGGCTTCCATTGGCTGTGGCTGGTAACTCTTCAACGTCGTTTCTGGTAATCTCCAAGCAGATCTGACGATCCGGTTCTATTTCGGTGTTTCATGCCTGATTTTGCAGCGTTTATTTCTCGCGATTTTCTAGTGGCCTCCTCCTAGGCCTGTACCTAGCACACGCTACTGGGAATGCACAAATAGGTGTGAAACACTCGAGGTAGGAATGAAAAATGGACGTACAAATTTCACGATCGCCATAATTTTTCTTCGTTCCAAACTTGTTCGTATCTGCCCAACCGATTGCAATATATTGTTTCTTCACCTTGGCTTATATTATCAACTGTCAAACCAAGGAGGTTTGTATCTACCCTTCTTGACTGAACAAATCATGCACAAAAAACAATATCTTCTATATGCCTCTGTCATGCCAAACTTCTATATCCGCCTGTACGTTGGCAATAATCTCAATACATATAGCATTCCAAATGCGTGACCAAACCATTCATACATGTCAATAGTGTTTCTCTCCTATCATGCAGAATACATCAGTCATTTAGCCATTGTTGCGTATATTTTCCATGTTTAAAATTGACTAAGTGTCTTAGAATTGTAAAAAAAAGTTGCCAAAACTTGTCTTGCGATACTATTTCATTTATCCTAGGTACAATTAAGACCTCCTTGGTTGGACCAAGGAGCTTCCATTCACCAAGAATGTCCTTGGTTGGACATAGAAAATAATATTCTTGTGACACAACCTACAAAAATTCCTGAGTCCTCAAGGAGTCACCAAAACGTCGGATAAGTCATTTTCGCATATATTGTGCCATTTAAACGCTATTTTCCTTTTCCTCTATCTCAAAGACATAAATAGGAAAATATGTAATTCATAGAAATGAATTGAATTCCACGGGTCAGTGGGGATTTTATGCAAATGCTGTTGCCACCCCTGTTGTCCGGATGTATTGTTCCTCGGTGTGTGATTGGTCAGACGGCTTGCGTCTGTCGGAGTGCCCAGGTTTAATTAAACCAGAGGACGTCCCGGGGGCGTCTCTGCGCTGACAGCCTATTTAGCCGGAGTGAGAGGACGGACGGGGCTTCCCTGGCACCGTGAGCTAGCGCACAAACCTGGGAGAGAAGCTGGTAGGGGTACAGTTGAAAGCGCTTCGTGCCGGAGACGGTTTCCAACGACATCACGACGCTCTTGTCCGACAATGGCTCTGGTCTTCGTGCTGGTCGTTTGCAGTGCGGTCGTCCTGGAGACGTGGGGTAAGTTTGAATACTTTGCTGCACTACTTTTTCAGTCAACCCTTTGTGCTTTTTGTATCATTAGCTACTAGATGTTCTACATACTCAGACACAGCGACAGAAGTGGTAGTTGGACAATCTCGGACACCTGTTTGTGTGTGTGCTAACGAGGTAAAATGATGGTGCGCGTCATGAAGCCCGGCATGTTAACTGGAGTGTCTGACTGCATCTTTTGTGTCCCTGCCAACCTCCTGGCCTGTAGTCACTCAGACCACGGTGGCCTCCCCGGGCAGATATGGGGCCTGTCTGTAGGTTCAGTTCTGTTGAACTTGAACTTCTGATGTGATGGAATGTCGACTTGTGTCCTGATCCCTTGTTAATGTTAGAGAGTCTTTCCACTCATGAAGACATGTAGCTACTAGTATCTCTACCATCGATATACATTACATGCGACCATCTGAAATAACGCGTATACATGAAGCGCGCTTTTGTATAAATTTGGAACCGCAACCAAAAAATAGACGATTAACGTTATATCTTTGTCATGCAAAAGATTGCAACCAGAACAGGAAAAGAACCTTTGGCAACTACAAGCAAACGTTTCCTCGCTATGAATGAAAAGGAAAGCGTATCAACATTCATCACACCCGCCCAGTCTTCCCATGTTGTTGCTCAGTAGAACTCCCCGCGCCTGTGAGGGACCACAAAAATGAACAGATGGCCGGACTAGTAGGAGAGGCTACTTAATCGCCCTTCGCTTTAGAAGCTTAGCATTTTAACAGCTCCATAACTCAGGGGATTGATGTAAGACCTCCCAGGTCAACCGGAGTGATGTACAACACTGTCACCGCGGAGTGCGTCCGTCTCAGTGGAGCAGATCGGACGATCCAAGTACATACGGCAAAACAGCCCAGTTTGTCTACTCTCGAAGTAGAGGTTATGCGTGTTTGTGGACGTTTTTAAACTTTTTTTAGACGTTTTGTAGACGTTTTGTAGGGCTTTCCATTTTCTCGGCTTTTTTTTCGGTACAAAAAGAGAAGCCTTAAAAATGGAAAACGCGACAAATCGTCTAAAAGCTTAACATACAACCTCTACTTGAAGAGCACGTTTAATCAGCTTGTCAAGTGTTAAATTTTGCAGAGTCCGAGCCGCTACTTGAACTACTGTCCATTCCTATACATGTATGTACTCTGCCCAATTTCATTGTGAAGGGCAACACAAAGGGAACGAGCGATCGAAACACTTTCCTCGTTAATCTATACATGATTAGTAAGGGAGATCTGCAACAGGGCTTCGCATAGAGGATAAGAAAATGAACCATGACAATAATTTCCCCGGAGTGTTGTGTGCATTCATAATCATCTCTGGCAATAAGCCCCCTAATAAAAAAAATCCCCGTTGCCAAATTTCTCCTCGCCACAAACTGAGCGTAAACATGCGGTAAAAGATTATGAAACACTATCGGTATCCGCGCGTGGGGCTTTTGAAAGGATTGGAGTCATGTCCGGAGATCAAGGAGGTCACATAGACCAAGTAGGCTATGCCCATAACCCCCTTACCTATATCAATAAAGTTCTTCATTCATTACATCCCCCTTCCATAGAACAAACGTTGTTGAACTTTACGGAAAGAACGCGTCGGGTCGATAGTTCTAGACCAAAAAAATAGAAATGATGTCGAAGCTAAAGGTTACCAGTAAAAGCTGACGATGATAGCCACGTTGCGTTCTCTGGACATCATTGTGAACAACACTAACAGTAGAAAACAATAATATGGGCGTATGGGTGTGGCGGCTTTTAAACTGACACCATCCCTGCCCTTATCCCTTTTGGCCTTTTCGAACATCATACTAGTAATATCCTCAAGTGTCAAAATAGAAAGGAGCACGTACACTACGGTACAGTCTATTATTATTATTTGCCCTGCGATACTTTGTAACACTGACCTGAATGATGAACATTCAGTTTTGACATAACACGAAATGTAGCGGGAAGATCCTCATGAGAATTGTACACCGTTATGAATACACCCCGCAGTTTCAATTAATACGGTCTAGTCCCTGTAGGATCGTAATGCGACAGGTAAAAAGGAGTAGGGCGAAGGGGTGTGTCCCGGGAGAGCCTGACAGTAACACCCACTTTAAGGATTATCAATTAAAGCTACTGTTATTCAAGGGGCTTCTTTTCTTGCTTGTAAGAGGCTTAACACAAATCTCCAAGCAGATGGTGATTTGAAAAATCGTACAGTTTTCCGACCAGCCGGATTGTCTTATTTGCCACCTGGTACCCATCCTATACACTAGCTCTAGTCCGGTCCTCTGATCGCTTCCTTGCAGAATATATAATATATTCTATCAGAAAACGATTTTCACGCCTACATCTGCTTGGAGATTTGTACCCATGGCTCGCTGCAGAGACTTTGTCATTAATAGGAGTTAAGAAAGACAAAGTCATCAATTCGTCAATATTTATAAGCCATTTGGAGGGGGAGGGGGTTCGTGGCATAATGACAATAGACAAGGACAATAGACAAGGACCGATTCCTCCGCATATTACAATGGACTTGGGGTCAGTCTACAGGCCAGCAGCAATAATAAGTACTTCGTACAATGCGCCATTAATCATCTCCAGGTAGATTTATGTATGGTTTCGGTGACACACCAAAACGGCTATAGACTTGATTATATAAACCGGCTTTGGCAGCAACAAGTTCACCGAATAGTACACCGAATAGACTCCTAATTGGACCAACTATTACACATAAGCTTGGTGGTCAAAGGAAAGCACCAGAGAATATTAAATCTATTATTTTCCATTAAAAAGTTCATTTATTTCAACTTTTACATTAGTCCATATAATTACCATGTGGACACCTACATGTGTACGATACCATCATGTATTCTCCAAGGAGATCTTTTGGTGCCTGCAAAGACAGTATCAAATTGGCAAGGCAGTATCCATTTGCCATGCAGTATCCAGTAAAAAAAAGAAAGATCCCGATTAAAACGCCTAAAACACACCAAAACACGCCAAATAAGTTGAGCGAGCGAAAGAAATACTTGTGTCCTGTGATAAATGTTGGAATAAGAAAAACTCAACTCTACTTGGAGAGTAACCTTCCCGTCCACCCCGCCCAGGTGCCCCGATCCCGATCCTGCAGAAGTTCGAGTGGACGCCAGGGGTCGTGACGTACGGGAACGACGACCGGACCGTGGAGGACGTGGACACGGCTGACGGCTGCGCGGTGCTCTGTCTGCAGGAGACCACCTTCGTCTGCAAGTCTTTCGACTTCAGGTCAGGATTTACTCACATTCTTACATCTTCCCCGGGGAGGGTGTCAAGCCATATACATGATCCTGCCAAGAACACGACTCCGACACGACTTGGGGGTTTCAAACTCTGTTTCTTATATCATAATATTTACCACACGTCCTGTTTTGTGACTAACTACTGGCTTGAGCAATAGCAGTACATCTGCCATTCCTGCGTTCCTGTGCTGGACTGCCCATCTACTAGAACATGTACATTTGAACTCTTTAGTCAGACCACCTTGTCCTTCTGTCAGCCCTTCCACTGACAGCGTCCAATCGTGCAGCCTGACAGTGACAGACTGTGTAACGCAGCCTACATAACTTCTGGGATTATAAGTTTCTGTGGTACGCACGACTAATCACGCTGGCATGGGCTACTTGCCAACCCGAAATTGCCTGCTGGTAACACTGGAACGGTTCCAGGATGACTACGCTAAGCTTGCATGACAGGCTTTGGGTCTGGACTTAGCCGTGGCGACTCTTGGGGGCGAACTTTGCTGAGAGCCTTAGATATAGCCCCACATGGTAACTGCCTGGCAGATGGATACTGTCTGGTCAATGTGATACTGTCTTTGCAAGCCACCAAAAGATCTGCTTGGAGATTATCTAAAAGCACATTTTTGACTTATGAGTTGTGTTTTTCGTGTTTGCAGGTCTAAGGAGAAAGTGTGCATGTTGAGTAAGGGGAACTCCTACACGGCCGGGGTGGGCCTGCGGCTGGCTCCAGGCGCTGATCTGTACGAGGTGCTGCCGGGTAAGACACAGACCAATTTTTACTATTTTTACGTAGTCGATGAAGGTCAGAACTTAGACATCCAGGTAAAAAACGGTCAGGCGTTTAGGTAGCATCCACTACCTTTCGCCAGCCGGAAGGTAACGGACGCTACCTGCAACGTCTGACCGTTTTCAAAACATGCTCAGTTGCTTGAGTAGCTTTCTTTGGTATCACACTTTTGCCAATAAATGCCTAATACCCGAAGTATACGAAACATCGTACCACACCTGACTGTATTGGATGCATGGAATGGGGTTACTGTGTATCTTTTTGTTTTTTATTTCAAAGGAGCATTTGAATGCATAGAATATTTTAGAAATTACATACAGTTACAGAATTTGACATGGAAATGATCTCTGGAGCCTAACTGAAGTCACCAAGCCCTTTTGTCGTTTTGAGTGCCTTCACTGTGTGTCTGGACTCTGAAGTGTATCTAGCTAGGATGTTCCCTGGCCCGCATACAACTCCTTAATTCTACTTCATCCGTTAAGAATCTACAGATTACATCCCGACAGAAGTTCCCACTATAACTACTAGGCCCACTGTAGCTAGCTAGCTAGAATGTCCCCTGGCCCGCATCCAACTCTAATCTGTCATATATATTACCAATCTGCAGATTACATCCCGACCGAAGTTCCCACCACAACCGCCAGGCCCACCGCCGCCAAGCCCACGGACCCGACCACGCCTGAAGGAGCGGGGAGGGACGATCCTAACGCCGGCGGGCTGAAGGACCAGCCAAGCGCCGAGCCCGTCTCAACAACACGGAAGGGCGGCCATGATAAAGATAACCAGGACAAGGAGACAGAAGAAGACGAAGACATGGCCGACGGAAGGGTCACAAAGGCGAGACGGAAGGACCGCGAGGGGAGGAGGAAGAAGAACAGAGGTAAAGAAGACGGCGAGGAGGGCAACGGCGGGAAAAACGGAAGACGGGGGCGCAAGAGAGGCAGACAGGGTAGGCGAAACGGTGAGAGGAAGAAGAACAGAAGAGGCAAAGGTAGAAATGGCGGCAACGGGAAAAGAACACCCAAGAAAACGGACAAGGAGTCGGACGTCGGAAACGCAAACGACGTCACCAAGACCAGCGGATCGACGACTCCGAAAACAACAACCGCTCCTCCTCCCAGACAGACGACCCCGGAGCCAGAGCCCTACCAGACCCCGTCTCCACTGGACACTGGCGAAGTTGGCGCCACCGCCGTCGCCATGACAACGCAGGTCGTGCCGTCCGACGGCGACGCGTCAGAGACGCCGAACTCCTTGCAGGATGATGACGTGGATGGCGATGCCCCGGATGTGGCGGAGGGAAACACGGCAGATGCTGATGACGTCACGGGAAACGGGCATAGTGTGGAGGGTAACAGCACGGAGGAAAAGCCCGTGGGACAACCTGAGCAAGGCCTGCCCTGAGTCTGTACCTAACATGTTTATCACCATGCAGATCCTAGGGTGGCAAAATACAGTATCCATTCGCCAGGGGGTCCATAACCCAACCAAGGTATGTCCTTGGGTGGCGTATGGACCCTCTCTGGCCAATGGATACTGCCTGTCCAACTTGATACTGTATATTGCCACGCTAGGATCTGCTTGGAGATTACTGACATGTAGCATGTGCTGGGAAACATGCAACTAGACGACCTTTTCTACATAGACGTTGTGATTATTTCAAACATCGTAAAATTACATTTAAAAATTAGACCTTCCAGGCGGGGAAAAGGAAAGACCGTCTATGTGTGCAAGCTTCTGAAATTGTAGCCTGGGTGCCAGTCTTTTCAGCTTTAGTACACTTGATTCACCACTTACAAGTCAACAAGCAAGGCAAGACGGGCAGCGCAGTATAGCTAAAAAGGCTGGCATCCAGGCTACTGAAATTGTCGAACAGGAGACTCTTACTGTATTAAGTCTACATGAGAAAACAAATCAACCTTTTGACTAAATGAAAACCGACCATTTGAAGAAAGGAAAAAATACCTCGATATATAACTACATTGTATTACGTAGCGTGCAAAGTGATGTTGTCAATTCCACTATCTAATAAAGACATGTGACTCTCATCTGGCTGCTTCTGTCTGGTTGTCAACATTTTGTAAGACATATTAGAGAACATACTTCAGCAACATACACCCTGCCTAGATGGTATTGGACACAGTGAGACTAACCAACATGACTTTGTGCAAAAGTAGACTTTATTACTCAAGTTTCCTTGATTCTTCTCCAGAGAAACATGGCATATAAAACATGGCTGCCAAAATACACAACAAAATATGCAACATTTTTTTAACACTGGCCATCATGAGTATTACTAGTAACTGTAGCTTCCAATGCAAAAATATACAATGTATTTGATTTTACATTTACAACATGGCAAGACATTCAGTTTTACCGAAACAGTTTCTGATCAGACAATCGAATCACCTAAACACTTATCATTGAAACAATGTCATTAAATTGTGCTTTTTGCCAAGTGAACAAGAACACGATAGTTCTGGTCCAATGTACAAAAGGCTACCTAACTTCCCTGCTGTCAAAACTTGCAACTAACATGAACTTGGTCAAAAAAAAACAGTGCCAACAGCAAGAAGGGTAAGATTAATAACTTGGCAGAAGATACTTTTTCTAAACTCAAGCACATATGCCGAAAAGTTCCAACTTCCTTGATCATTGATTGTTGCTGCTTTTTGATCTCTGACTTTCCCTTTTTGGACAAATAAGTGATTGCTGACGTTGTTTGCAACAATTATTGGTAGGCAAATCACCCAACTATCGCCTGCTTCTTGCCTACCAATGTGGCATCATGACGACCGTTCGTATTGCAACCATGTCCAATTTTGGTTAATGCTTTGCACACAAGAGCTTGATCCCACAAGGTCTGGCTGACTCATGCAGAGTTGCGTTGACTTGAGGTTAGCTTCAGGTTTTCCTCTTTACCTCAGCGTCCTGTACGGAACAATAAAGACGTCATACATCCAGTATTACTGTTACCACATATATATAAACAGGAACACCATCTATTGTTATCGATACTAAAAAGTGGAAGTTCAGCATCTTGTAACAGAATAAAACAATTATGAATATATTTTGCCATTTCTTGGTTACACATAATAATCAATCAGTTATTCTGCATAAATAAAAACACACATCATACCTGGGTGATCATCAAGACCATTTCAGCTCTCTCTCCGACGTCTCCCCGACAGTTCTCTGTCCAACAGAGCAGGCTTACTTGGCCGCCATCTTGTCCTGTAGCCCACGTAGAAGGGACACCAGCTGTGCAGGTGCAAATGTGGGGTTCTCAGTCCTCGGTTTCGGTCTGTAAGTGAAACAAAAAACCGGCGTGTAAGGAGCGTGGAGTTCTGGGACCGGGTGGTCCTGACACTAGATAGCCTGCCACAAACCGAGTTCATACAACTAACGGGGGAGGGGGGCACACAGTAGATGCAAGTTTGAGACATCCCCAATAAAATAGCATGAAAAGGACATTCTGTAGGGTTTGCACAGGCTAATGGAACGCTCGAGATCACCCGGTGAGGAGGAAGGGGTGGTTCAGCTGCAGAATTTAAGTGCTGTCCTACAATTTTTGTTCTTTTACAATCTAACAAAATTTCTATCCCACGTGACAACCACCAGTAAAAAAAAAAGAAATTATGTCCGCTCCAAGAAGCCATTGGTTACCACCGTATTGGTGGTTTGAGAATCTTACATTCAGAATTTGCAAGAGTAGTTAAAAGAATATACTAGTAGCTGTAATTGACTTCCAATGGCAGCCTGAAAGTGGTTCAATCACAAGAATCAGAGGTTTTTAT